TTGGAGATACTGTGTTAGCAAAGAATTTTAGGTCAGGAGCACAATGGGTTAAAGGAAAGATTATCAAACAGTTAGCCCCTTGAACTTTCCAAGTTGAAGTAGATCAAGGTCTTCATTGGAGACGCCATATTGATCATCTGAAGCATCTACCAAGTGCTCCATTCATTCGACATGGTCTGGATGACAATTCTAATGAAGAGGAATCTCAGGAAGATGCTCCTCAAGTTACAACTGAATCTACCACAGATAATGAGGCTAACACCACGCCCTCTGTGGACGATCATAGGCCTACTCCTACTAGTATTCCTCCCACTGCCTCCACTCCTAATCAGTCCGAGCGTCGTTATCCTGTGAGGAATCGTAGACCTCCTGATAGGTATTATTAACTAGTTTCTAACTAAGTGTGGGGGAATGTAGTGTAATGTATGTATATATGTATTATTCTTATTGTTGTATTATTGTAGTTATTCTAATGTTTATGTTATGTGGTTACTGTGAATAGCAATAAGGTTATACATGTACATGTATGTCTTATTATTTATGTACCATTATTATTATATAGTTTTTGTAGCACGTGCTCCTCACACACACACAGTCATACACTCTCTCTTTTTCCATTCGATTGTTCTTTCTGTTCTCTCTCCCTCTCTATCCCTTGTTTCTCGAGTTTTACCAAATAAAGAGTTTTAAATATATCACAATGTGCTACTACTAATTGGTAAAAAGTAATGGAAACAAGGAGCAAGTAGGATTCTGAATGACTGACTATCCATACCAACAAAAATCCTACTCTCGTGATGTAAATTCTACTCCACATTGCATTTTAAATGTTATTATGTAAGAAATTACACATCACCTTGCAATTAATATGCAACATACACTGTACAATGTCATGCATAAGAGCCTCAAAGTGTGCTAAGCAAGCTAAATAGCACAGGCCACGTCCGCCATGAGTACATGTACATGTACATGTAAATCTAATCTTACTGAATGTGTAATATGTACATACTTGAATTGATTTCTGAAACACTTGAGGTATTCCTGGAAAAAACTTAACCTTTATAGTCTGGACCTCCAAATGCTGGACACAGCCCTAGACACATGTACACCACATGATAGTCACATCATATGCACATGTATGTACAAATGTACAAGTAAATTGTTTTTCTGCTTACTTGTGTTGGTGATACAGAGAATTGTCCTGGTTCCAACTGCTCACCATCAACAGCTCCAAGTACCTTAAAATCAAGTGCTACTTTTCCAATATTGCTCAGTGTTATCTCCTCACAGCAAAGACTGTCATAAGGCTAGGAAATAAATATATATCATAATAACTATAGTATAAGGTACTTTTTGATAAAATCATAAGGAGAGGATGTTTCATTTTTATAATTTTTTCCTGATACACATATAGTACATGTACATGTTCTTATGTTGTGCAGGAAGTTTAAACTGATTCTTTAAAAATTGGATTTTTAATGAATTTTTACCGTTACTTCAAAATCAGGGTCATTGGCCAAATTTCGTGAAAAATGGCTAGGAGAAAATTTCCCAGTTTTATAATTTTTCTGATACAAATACACATGTACATGTTTTTATGCTGTGTAGGAAGTTTGAACTAATTTCAATCAAAATTGGATTTTTACAAATTTTTAAGGCAGCCCCAAACGTCATGTATTCATGAAGCACACTGTTTAGCTCACTTACATGTACATACATGCTACATGTACATGTACATGCATGTACATGTTTTGTGAGAAACCCTGCATTCCTTATTGGATTACCAACAACATCCTATTTTGTCCCTCTCTCTCTCTCTCTCTGTCTCATAAAAATTACCACAATTCCAAGACGTATTTTCTTTTTATTTATTCTATATTGTATATCAGAAGCTTCACCAGCCAGCACCAGTTCATAGACTGGGCCTCCTTCCACTTTACATACAGCCCTCACTTCAGTAGACACGTCAGTATGACCAAAGAAGCTCATCTTAACATCCTGAGTCTCTCCTGGCTGAAGTACTCCAAATAATGGCAAAATATCAAATATCTGAGACAAAAAAATAAACACATGTAATAAAATTAACATACATGTACATGACATATACAGTACATTTATATGCATGTATATATTTTTACTTATTAAAACACATACTACTGTAGTCAATAGTACACATGCACATATTGTATTCTCTCTCACTTGTCTAATGCTGACTGGCTGTAAAGGTTCTCCTACCATCTCCCATGGCTGACGTTCCCTCTCCTCCTCCTCTTCTTCCTCCTCCTCCTCCTCTTCAGTAACCTCTACTGTTGATTCACTGTGTTCTGAAGGAGGCAAGGACTGAGATATAACAACAGGTACTTCACTATTCCCCCTTATATCCTCCCCCACTCCTTCAACTCTATTGATATCCTCGGTCTGAGATTCAGTCACACTTGGAGCTGTCACATGAACTGATATCTTCTCTGCTGCTAGAAACTCAGGAGTAACCCTCAACTCAAACCCAATGCTTTCTCGTTGCTTCCTTGATACATGTACATCCACTCCCTTTAACGATCTTTCATCTTCCTCTTTCTCTCCTTCTGACGGTCGTGGTGACTCCTCTACATCAACGACATTAATGGGAGGTGTGACAGCTCCTCCCTCCCCTTCAGGTTGCTGCTGTTCGTCAATACTAGAGCTAGAGCCTTCGATGGAGTCTGTCTCTATTTCACTTTGCATGTCGACACCTTCATCATCATGTAGTGGGTCCCTGCGGGTTGGAGCCCCTTTAAGGAAGTACCAGCGATAGTTAACAACCAGTGGACTGTTGTTTGTCATGCGGACCACCTCCATCACTTCAGTGTTGTTTAGTACACACCCAAAGTCAACTTTAGTGGTACTGAAATGAATATTAGGGAAATGGATCTCGGCTAGTAGATTAATGTAATCCTAAAATAAAAATACATGATCATACATGTACATTTGTGTATACATGTATATATCAATGTACGTGTACGTGTAATAAGAAAAAAAAATTAAGGGAGAAAGAGGATTAGGAGAAAAAAGGAAAATCAAAATCTTTACTACATTTCAAATCTAGCTAATTGATCCAGGCGTACATGTAATTGATTCCTCTACCTTCTGAGGATGTTCTTTGTAGGCAATCTCTATTGTCTGGCTCTCATTGCGGGACTGTCTATCAACACAATAAGAGGAATCATACTGGACAGACAGTACAGCCTCTTCACTTGATCCCAACGACAACATCTACACAAAATAATGGATGAACATTTATAAAAATACTACTGCAATAATGAATGTATATGTACTGTACATGTAAGAATACTGCACATACATGCATGTATATGTAGTGTATAGTAGTAAATTGGTAGAGTACCTGATTAGCAGTGAATGGTTCATCCTGAGAGAGGCTTAGTCTGAAAGGATAGCTGCAGCTTAATAAAGCAGTCAGAGGCAATGGAGACACATTCTTCAGTAACATGTCATGTACATGCTTCTCTAGCAGACTATCAGGCTCCTATAAAATTAACAATAAAATTAACATTAAATATTTTCCACTCTTATTATTGTATATTATACAGTATTTTCCTTTCCTTTTCTACTCTATGTACAGTACATGTGTACATATACAGTACATGTACATTGTACCTGTTCCATTCTAAATGTCACTTCTTTGGTGCTGAATTCCAATAGAGGAGCAATGAAGAGGCACACAATGTCAACTGTCATTATTCTCTCTTTGTGAGGATTCCGTCCAATGATAGCATGACACAGCAACCGCTCCTTCACTTCTTGAGCACTGGACAAATGGAGAGCGAGAGAAAACATAAAAAGATAGCAGAAAAATTTTTTAAGTAGATAAAAATGTGTGTCAAACAACACAGTGAATGAATCTAGTATAGTACGGTACAATAGAGTAGAGTAGCAATTACAATCAATACAGTAGAGTACATGTACAGTACATGCATGTTCATTTCATGTACAGTACAGGTCAATAGAATAGGTACATGTACATGACATGTGCATAGGGTAAAGTACAGTATATAAATGTAATTCTTACATGTCAGAGTAAGCAGTGATTACAACATTCTGTGATTGGTAAGGTAAGAGTACAGCTTGATCAGGTGATATCTGAAACATTGGTCTCTTTGGCATCCCATCACCTCTCTACATAAATAATAATAATAATAATAATAATAATAATAATAATAATAATAAATGGCGGCGTGTTGCTCTTGTAATGGAGTGAATGCTCGTTGTGTTCGCTGCATCTGTGTCAAGAGCAAAAGGCCCTGCCTGAACTGTCGAGCTAAAGATGACAACAACTGTCACAATACTATCCCCCAAAGACAGTCTCAATTCACCTCTGTGCCTGTCGCGCCTCAGAATAGTCACACTGTCATTCCACCTCCGCCATCTTCCCTTCCTGGTCCAGTCAACTCATCTACAAGTGTGTCTTCTACTTCACCATCAGTGCCATCCTCGAATGACTTGCCAGATCCAGACATTGATAATTATCTAATGACTGCCTATGGCAGTTCTCTTGACCGTTCAGAGGTCCCTATGGGTACTACTAATGAGTGGGTCAGTCGCTGGTCGTCCATTGCCCACTTAAAGGGTAAACTCTATCATGTACCAGGTGGATCTATCGGCCGGCATTATGTGGATCAGCTATCTAAGGAAGTTTTGTATTTAGCAAATGGTTCATTTCCTTCTGAGAGACTTATGGTTTTTTCCGCTGTTATACTGCAGCGTATTCACACTGTGAGAAAAGGTTCTGATATTAGGAGGGTCCTAGACAGACGACTAGAAATGTGGTCCAAAGATGAGTTTGATCCTCTCGTCAATGAAGCCATCAGATATGATAAGTCTGTCAGAGCTCGTCTTCCACCATTGACTGAAGATCACTTTGTGTCTGTCTTCTCTCGACTAATGTTATGTGGTAAGGTCAGAGCAGCAGTTCGTTGGTTATCTGATAGTAATAAAGGGACTGTTCTCTCCTCTAAAAGTCCTACTATTGTTAAGAATGGTGATGGGACGTCTTCTAATATGTCGGTTTTAGAGGCTTTAAAGAGGAAGCACCCAGAATCTCAGTCTCCCCCTCTATCAACTTTACTGACTGCTGATCCACTTCCACCTCGCTCAGTTCTTGAAGTCACTGGATCTCATGTTCATCTCACTTCCTCTCGTATTCAAGGAAGCGCAGGACCCAGTGGCACTGATGCTAATCACTGGCAAGATGTGTTGTTACGATTTGGTGCACATAGTGAGAGACTCCGTGACTCCGTGGCATCCCTCATTCGCCGCCTCTCCAATACAGTCACTCCCTGGGATGACATTCGGGCCCTGGTAGCCTGTCGTCTTATAGCCCTAGACAAGTGCCCCGGCATAAGACCCATTGGGATTGGAGAGACACTCAGAAGGATTATCTGTAAGACTGTCTGTATGTTAACTAGGTATGAGTTAGATGAGATTTGTTCAACTTCACAGTTGTGTGGTGGGATGAAAGCAGGGATTGAGGGTGCTATTCACACAGTTTATGATTTGTTTGAGCAGGGAGGGAGAGATGGATGGGGTGTGTTAATGATCGATGCAACCAACGCTTTTAATAATATCAATCGTCAATCTGTTCTATGGAACTCTAGAATTTTGTGGCCCAGTTGCTCTCTTTTTCTATTTAACACTTACAGAGGATGGATCCCTTTGGTCATTAATGATTCTAACGTCTATTTGTATAGCAAAGAAGGTGTGACACAGGGGGATCCACTCTCCATGTTCATCTATGCTGTAGCCACCATCCCTCTAATAGAAAGGCTAGGTCGTCCATCAGGAGGAACACATGTATGGTATGCTGATGATGCCTCTGCCTGCTCTAGACTACAACACCTAAAGGACTGGTTTGATCGCTTACTCCAAATTGGCCCATCATATGGTTATCATCCGGAGCCTAGTAAGTGTGTACTGGTTGTTCATGAGGGCCATCTCTCATCTGCCCGTGATTTGTTTGAGACTTATGGTATTAGGATAGTGACTAGCCACAGATTGTTGGGAGGAGTGGTTGGTGATCAGGAAGGTCTTCTGTCTTATGTCACTAGTAGTGTTAATGAATGGACTTCAATTGTTGAGAAGCTGACTGTGATTGCTGAAACACAACCACAGCTTGCTTACTCAGCTTTTACAAGGTCAGTACAGAGTCAGTGGGCTTACCTGCAGAGAGTGGTTCCTGATTGTGGATCATCCTTCATCCCTCTTGAGCAACTCATTTCACAGCGGTTTATACCTACCATCTTCGGTTGTGAAATATCTCCCACTGAACGCTCACTCTTAACCCTCCCTGCCCGACTTGGTGGCCTCAATATACAGGATCCTACCCTTACTAGTACTACCAACTACACAACATCTAGGAGGCTCACCTCTCCTATTGTTGATGCTTTAAAAGGAATTATTGAATTTGACATTGATGAGTTTAATATTGGCTATCATTTAATTCAAGAGGAGATAACTAAGGAGAAAGCTGCTGGATTTGATCGTTTATTTAATGAGCTCCTACCGCTACTCACTTTGGATCAACAGAGAGCAGTCAATAGAGCAAAGGGTGAAAGAATGTCATCATGGCTCACTGTTGCTCCAGTTGCAAAGCATCACTTTGATCTCTCGGCTCAGGAGTTTAGAGACTCACTAGCTCTGAGATATAGGAAGCCGCTACAAGGCATCCCGCCTACTTGTGATGGGTGCAGTGCTACCTTTGATCTATCTCATGCCCTATCTTGTAGGTGTGGAGGCCTTGTCACTCAAAGACATAATGAGGTTCGAGATTCCTTTGGTGATTTGGCAGCTCTCGCTTGGTCTCAAGTTATCAGAGAACCAGTTGTTCGGGAAGCCAGCTCTCACTCTCCAGCCCTTGTGGCAGACTTGGCAGTACGTGGGGTTTGGGTACCTCAAGCCGAGGCGTTGTTCGACATACGTGTCATTGACACTGACGCCCGGTCTTATCGTAACCAGTCCCCCATTGATATCCTTTCTGGTGCTGAGAGAGAAAAGAAGAAGAAATATTTAGAAGCATGTACTGATAGAAGGGCTGTGTTTACTCCAATTTGTAGCTCAGTAGATGGATTGTTGGGTCGTGAAGCTAATGTGTTTGTTAAGAGAATTGCTGAGAGACTATCTTCTAAATGGAACACCAACTATGCTCAGGTATTAGGGTGGATTAGGACTCATCTAACTTTCTCAACTTTGAGAGCCACAATCTTATGTCTTAGGGGCACACGTACCAAATGGAGATCAATTAATATGGCTGACAGTTCCCCCCTTAACCTTATTATGCACTAAAATGAACAAATTACTATTACATTTATTTTATTTTATTTTATTTCCAACTCTATTTCTATTCCTAAACTAATTCTGTCCTACTTGGTGTATTTTGGTTAATAATAATAATAATAATAATAATAATAATAATAATAATTCATGAATGTACATGTATGCTAGTTGTTAGGGGCATACTTTTGTTTCTCCTACATCAGAGTAGTCTTTTGAGAGTCGCTCAATTTCAGCTTTTTTCCATTTTGCCATTGAAAAGCCTTCAGTGGTCCATGATATAGTCTATACAAGGTCACATATAACATTAACATTATTCATTTATTTTGCTACACGTAAACAAACATGTACTGTACATGTACATGCATGTGTATCTTAAACACTATACACATGTACATATATACATGTACATGTACATACCTGACTCCTCCTCCCTCTGTTAGTTAATGTGAATTGCTTCCTAACTTGACTGCAAGCAAAGTGTGTCCCCATGTTGACTGAGGAGTGCATTGATGGGGCACTCACTATAGTAGTCCCTTTACCTTCAGCTGACAGTGTGACTGTATAGCTAATACCACCAATTATTGTTATGGTTAATTTATCAGTGAACCTATTATAGGGAAGAGATATACAATGTACAATGTACATGTATGTACATATTGATGAAGCACATGTAAATTTCATGGATTTGTACATGTGTGTGTATAAAAACATGCATGTACATGTACATGCAGGTACGCTGTAGGTGCTTACTGAATGGCATCATCCAGTTCTGCAGTTACAGTGAGTGACAGTTTCTTTCTAGCAGGAATTACACCAGCAAATGGATGAACTGTAAAAACACTGCTCTCTCTCATCTGACAGAAAAAAGAAAGAAGAAAAAAGTAAAATGTATAACAATACAGTTTAAGTTTTACATGTACAAGACTACAAGTACATGTGTATGTGCATGTACATGTACATGTACATATACATGTATATTTAATTCTGATTGTTTTCTTACAAGAAAAGACTGGAATTCAGCATCAATCTCTGACTGGTTGCACAAGAGTAGGGTCTTCTTGATGGGGGTCAGTACTGGTGAGAGGCCCCAGTCTAAGTGTTCCTGTGATACTGAGACTACTGGCCCCTCACCAGTGCAGTGTAGCTTTAGTCTCAATGGTGACTCTGTTGATCCTGCTATATGAAAGGATGCTGTGGAGACTAGTGGACCGACTCCGTTAGCTTTTATTGTAAATGGAAGAGTCAGTGTCTCTTGAGGCTCAATGATAGCCTGAGAGAGAGAGAGAGAGAAAGAGAGAGAAAGAGAGAGAGAGAGAGTGAGAGGAGGGGTAGAGTGGGAGAGGAAGAGAAAGGGGAGGGCTTCCCACAAAGCATGCTACATGTACAGTGAGCTGTAAACAGTATCATGCTTCATGAACTAACAAGCATCACACAATACAATGCATGGCATTTGGAGCAACTTCAAAATTCATAAAAAAATCTAAATCAGAATCACAAGTACATACATGTACCAGAAAAAATATTTAGCACTATAGATGCCAAAATCCTGTGGGAAACCCTGGGTGGAGTGTATAGTAAATGTACAAGAGGTACAATGTACATGATGATACTATTAATATTTACCTCAGGCTTTGTCGTTGAACATTCAATGGCAGCATCACATTCCTACATAAACACACAATTAACGTACATGCATAATAGCCTGTACTATACTGTATCATACTGTATTATACTGTACTATACTGTATATTGTACATTACCTGTTGAATCATCTTGTATTTGACTGGCAGTGTATCTGATGTGTTCTCCAGGTGTACATTCAGTGTGTATGGATGAGACACAAAGCAGCGACCATAATGTAATGACTTGGTATGGAGAATAACATCAGGTACAACACAACTGGAAGAAAATAAGATACATGTGTACATGTACATGTACACTGTACATTGACACTAACTTTGCTCGTATGGGTAGAGAGAATACTTCCTTCCCAGCCTCTTCTACATCAAGTACCAAGCACCTAGTGTACTCCTTTACTTCAGCTGGAGTGAATGTTATCTAATTGTAATAATATGCAATCAAATACATGTACATGCACACTATGTGCTGGTAAATTCAATGATTGATTATACATGTACATGTACATGAACTTACAGTAATATTCTGGTGGAGGCTGGGTGGCAGGATTCCTTTGTTTAGGTTGATGATAAACTCTTCCCCTTTGCTGCCATGAGCAGGGACCCTCAGTATAAAGCTCATTGGTACCTCAGAATTATTAGTTAATGAAACCTGCCGGACTGATGGAAACCCTACAGTATCATAAAATAATAAATATACATGTACATGTACATATTAGGGTTTATTGACATGATGTATATTCATGAAATGTCTGAGTGTGACACTGTTAGCAAGACACTTACCATCTCTGCCATTAATGTTAGTAATTTCATTAAATAATCTTTAAAATTCATTTATTTGAAATGTCTCATTCTTCTCCTCTGACTATAAAGTGTTAGGTGTTTGATCTTGATACAATTATAATTACCCTAACTAATTATCTACTCTTGTTAATATATGTATATGTAATCTATTCACTTGGTAGGTCTCATTACAAAGTTTATTTAAGATGAGTGAAGTCCTGTAATACAAAGTACATCCAGAGGATCCATCAAAGTGAGCAAATGCTGGTATAATATAATTATGTTTGTTATCGTTAGGACTATACTGCAGCAGCATACTGTAATGAGTGTTCATGGTGTTCCATTGCTGGGAGGATTATTAGAAACTATGATACTCAATTTCTTTGAATCTGTTATATCAAAGGTTTGTCTTTATGTATATGCCCTAGCTGTGAAGCTGGTTTAGAATATTCTTTGGGGCTGTCACAAAAATTGTGCTATACCACACTTTCAGTTGCAAGAAAATATTCTGAACCCAGCTTTATTAAGTGGCAAGCACATAAATGAGTTTATTTAACTGTGGTACACATATCCTTACTATAATTTAGTTTATATCATTTGTATTATTCTTAACTTCAGTATTAATGTTTGATACAGTATATACAATAAAAAAAATATACAATGAAAAATGAAAAACTTCTTAGAAATAAGACTAACTATAGGCTAAACCTCGTTACTGACCCAGCACCTTTTTGTTTGTCAAATATTTTTTATGCATGACTCCAAAAAATCCTGATAATACCTTTGTGGCATTTGTGTTATGTACCATATTTTACCGATTAGACACCCAGGCATTTATTTCTTAACAGCAAGAAAAAAAAGAAATTCAGGCGGGATTGAACCCAAAGCCAGACCAGGGTCTAACTAAGAAGCACTTTAGAGCCATCTAAGTAGTAGGGATATTAATTTTGGTACAAATATGCATATTATCTATAGTTAGAATATACTTGTGACAGGCGTTTATTTGGACCAGGCGTTTATATGGTAAAAAACGGTAATTTACCAGCATTACAAAAATAAGTATTACTAAGCAGCAACCAAAAAATTTTAATATAAGTAAGCAATGAAAATATTAAGTTTCACAAATTATTACTGGTCCTTCCTTAAGTTCCTTTACAAGCCCTCTGAGGAACTCTTTCAACTCAGTACTCTGAAAATGCAACTTCAAAACAACATGTTGAAGTGAAGGATGGTTGAGGATAGCATCAATAAATTCTTCCCATGTATGCTTTGGTGAACCAAAAAATTGAATGTTTAAGCTTAGTACCTCAATCCTTCTATTTGGTAGTAAAATATCAGTAATCATCAGTAGAACATGATTCTGAAATATGGTGTCATTGTCTGTTTCAATGATGGTGTGTTTTTGATTATGTCCATGAAATTCTAACTGAAGCTCAGTAAGGTTTTTCTTACAAGACAGACGGCTAAAAAGAGTTTTTACATCATTGTCTTCATTATACATACAACTAGTAGAGAGCGGAATAGGTAGATATAGCTGCTGTAATGTTTCATTCTTCTCAAGACCAGCAATGAGACAAGAAAGAAATATATGTGGCAGAATGTTAGAAGTACTGGTAAACAACTGCAACGGAGGATCTGTTTTTATTTCAAGGCATTCTAATGTTTGATTATGTTGGAGCATTTCTTTCATACTAGTACACATATTTTTGAAAGTCCAGATACAACTAAATGCTTCAGGTGTTAAATGTAATCTCAATGCTTTCAGTTTATTATCAGTTTTTAGAATATCAAAGAGCTCAATAGCACTTTCTGGTGTATTTAATGGCAATCCAGTTACAACCAGGCTAGGGTTAATAACATGTGATGGATACAGCTTTGGTAGTAACCTACATTCCAGTCCAGGAATGAAGAGATTTGTATTCGTAGCAACCAATGGTGTGTTTACTGTTTCTACTGTAGGTAAT